GCTCTGTTGCCTAGGCTGGAGTGCAGTGGCACAATCTCGGCTCACTGCAACCTCCACCTCTCAGTTCAAGCGATTCTCCTGCCTCAGCCTCCCAAGTAGCTGGGACTACAGGGGCCCACCACTATGCCCAGCTAATTTTTGTATTTTTAGTAGAGACGGATTTTCACTATGTTGGCTAGGATAGTCCTGATCTCTTGACCTTGTGACCTGCCTCGGCCTCCCAAAAGTGCTGGGATTACAGACGTGAGGCACCGCACCCGGCCTTCTTTTTCCTTTTCTTCTCCTTATTTTTTTTTCTTTGATAAAAAGAAGTGCAGTGGTACCATCTTTTGCCAGACTGGAGTGCAGTGGTACCATCTCGGCTCACTGCAACCTCTGTCTGCCAGGTTCAAGCGATTCTCCTGCCTCAGCCTCCTGAGTAGCTGAGACTACAGGGGCACGCCACCATGCCCAGCTAACTTCTGTATTTTTAGTAGAGATGGTTTTTACCATATTGGCCAGGATGCTCTCAATCTCTTGACCTCAAAATCCGACAACCTCATTCTCCCAAAGTGCTGGGATTACAGGCGTGAGCTGCCGGACCTGGCCACAGATCCCCTTTCTTTAAAGGAACTCTTTATGTAGTATCCAGAGGTATACACAAATAATACAGGTTAAAATGGCATTGCTTTCATCTGGTTGGAGGTGGGGGAAAGTGAGGGCAGGGGAGTGGGTTTGGGGGGGTACAAAACCTGTCCAACTATCCAACCCTTTCCCTTATTACCACCCCACCCTGGGAGACTTTGAAGTCCTAATGACAAACTTCTAAGACCATAGTTTGAAAATTCTAGAAGTTTGCTACAATTACTTTGTCACCTTCAGAAGCACTATTCTGTGAACTGTGGCATTTATCCTTGCTCTCTTCCTTGTTACATTTACCATGCTACTATCTGGACTGGAAGGAATGGGGTATATCTTTTTAGACCGAAGCTCTAGTACAAAACCTTCACCTAATAGTTCACTTACTATGAAAGTTAATTACACACATTGATTTATTATTGTCATATCCAACTAAAAAGAGTAAAGAGGCAAGGGGGAAAATGACTAGGGACACATAACACCTACCCCAAGAATTGCCCACAAGCCCAGTTGCTGAAACAACCTGTTGAGACTCTAAGATTGATTTTACCTACCATGATCACTCATCAATTAGAGCTTGCCAGCCCCCCAAAACTTTGATAGTGCCAATGAGTTTTCTTTCAAAATAACGTAACATTTCTCTTTCAAATAAAACTCCCAACCTTCTCTTTGTTCTTCAGACATACTAAAGACCACCCCAGTGTGTGTGTATGACCTGAATTGAAATTCTGTGATTCCCAAATGAAAAATTGAGTTTAAAGATTCTTATTTTGACTTTGACATTGGCAAAGGTTTCTTAATGATGACCACTGGGGCCAGGATCTCCAGCAACTTCCTGGAGGAGGTGGCCTGTAAGTCAGGCTTGGGGAGAATTTGAATTAGTAGGCAGGAGGTCATTGTTCCTGATTAGTGGAGGTTATGCAGAGATGACAGACAGAGGAGGCCATGCAATGGGTAGCTCTTGAGAGTTGTTAGGGACACAGAGAAATAGAAGGTGTGGGAGTGAGGCATGGAGCCCAAGAGTAGAGTAGCTCAGCTATGACCTGAGATGGCCTAAAGCAAGAAACAGAAACTGTCATGGCATATATTAGATTAATTCCCTAGTGTAGTGTCCTCAGCAAGATACTCCAGGAAGATAATTGGTACTGGCTAGTTTCCAGGTATCTTTAGATGAAACAAAATGTGAGCAGCCTCTAAGGCAAAACTTTTCTGGACATTTCCAAGGGCACATCCCACATCCCCTATCTGCAGCACAAGCTTACACTATTTAGTATCCAGGTGAGATGATGATGATTGCTCCAGTGCGGGAATACTGCGCCAGGTAACTGCACTGGCTTAGCTAGAGGCACTAGCCAGCTGCTGGCTGTTGATGGGAGTATCCTGCCCTCTGCTGGATTTGGCAGGAAACATGAATTTGCATTGCTGGCTAAAGAATTAATTAAGGTTGAAGGCTTTTAGAACTGAAAATAAATATTTGCTTGTGTGTTGATGAGGTTTAATTAACTTGGGAATGCATTCCTTAAATGACATCTGGATTCTCAGGTAATTTCCAGGTATCAAGGAAAAAAATCATTTTATATCATATATATACCTGTTGTTCAGTAAATAAGGGTGCATAACATACAGTGCCAGCATTTTGTTCTGTAAAGAATAAAAGCTGCATCTATAATAATTCTTAAAGTATTCACATAGTGTTGTGATTTGATGAAAGAATCCCAAGAGCACAGTTAGACTGTTGGGGTTTGTATATTAATTCAGCAAGATACTAAATCTGAGACTCAGTCTTCTTAACTGTAAAAAGATGCCATACTCACCTTAACGGGCTCTTGTGAGGATCAAGTGAACTAAGAATATGTGCCCATTAAAAGCATGAGGTTTTAAACATATGCACAGGTTAAATTACTGATTTATTTCGAGTAAAACTCGAAATAATGTTTCAATGTTTCAAATCTAGATAATGACAGGACTCTTCCTAAAATACTGAAAGAGATCAGCAGGCCCTAATTTTTGCAAGAGCCTTTGAAGATGGGACAATTTTTTACTAAGTAGTATTTATCTCCAACTGCCGGCCATTCTGTTCTGTACAATCTGTACAAATGTCTCTATTTCTCACTTTCATAAAGAGAAAATGGCAGAAATTTTATGGATAATCTTTTCCAGCAGCCAATCCCTTGCTTTCCTCTCCTTTTCCCTTTTGTTCTGGAAAACAAAACAAAACAAAAGCTGGGTAATAATGGTGTTATTAACGTAGTACCTTTTAATCAAAAATAATAGATCTGGTTTTTTTTTTTTTTTTTTTTGAGACAGAGTTTCGCTCTTGTTACCCAGGCTGGAGTGCAATGGCGTGATCTTGGCTCACCGCAACCTCCACCTCCTGGGTTCAGGCAATTCTCCTGCCTCAGCCTCCTGAGTAGCTGGGATTACAGGCACGCACCACCATGCCCAGCTAATGTTTTGTATTTTTAGTAGAGACGGAGTTTCGCCATGTTGACCAGGATGGTCTTGATCTTTTGACCTCGTGATCCACCTGCCTCCCTCCCAAAGTGCTGGGATTACAGGCGTGAGCCACCGCGCCTGGCCTAGATCTGTTTTTAACTTAATAATTTATGTAATTGATTTTATTCTCTTCATTAGAAGCCCTGCTTAATAAAAATATTTTTAAAAATCCCCAGAAACCAGCTGCAGAGTAAACCCAAGTAATTGATCACCTTGCCAGCCTCAGTAAGTGCTATACTGATGTGTTCTAGAAAATTCACATTCAACAAAGATTTATACTACTTGCTGAAGACATGAAGGAATAAGATATGATCTCTATACATGATATATTTTGGGAATAGGTTAAGATATCATGTGCCCTTGAAGAATGAAGGTTTTCAGGTAGAAAAGTGTGTGTGTGTGTGTCTTTCTATTGGAGCTGGGTGGGGCAGGCTTCAAGACAGAGGGTATCAGGTAAGCCTCATATACTATTATGAAAACCTATGCTGTGGCCAGAGTGATAAAGAGGATGAAGATGAGGCTGAGGCTGGAAAGGTACTTTGGGGCCAAACGAAGGTGCTACTTAACTGCTAAGATGTAGAGCTTGAATTTCATGGGATATGTGTGTTAACCAATACATTTGAGTGTTGGATCAAAATAATACCTCCATTATATTCTGTTTAGTCAGAGAAGTATTTATTACAGAGGAGACGTTGGGTTTTAAGTGGCATTATAATTCTCTACGACTTTAAAAATATACATAAATTTCTAAGTGAGAACTGCAACCGTGTCTATGTTCAGTCCAAACTGGGGTAGGCTAGTGACTCCCTGTGTAACCCAGGGTTCCAGGTTTCTGGGTATACACTGTGAGGAAATTCCCACTTGTAACTGTTGTACCTTGAGTTCTTATTTCAAAAAGCTCTAGGAAGAAGCTCAGCCCTGCAAAAAGTAAAACTGGTTGGATTCAGAGATGCCTGAGTTGGAGATGAATTATGATCAACTCTCCTCATTAACCATAGTAACAAACCCTGCTCAGGGGGACGCTTATTTGCCATTTTCTGTACACACGATGTATGTAGAAGCATGATCAGCAGGCGACTGCACTGCCTTTATACCACTTCCACATACAATGACTCAGCTTCAGCCCAATACAAGTCCTGCTTTTACTGTTGTTCCTGGAGGCACTGCTTTGGGGAACTATCCCAGGTGTCCTCCTCTCTTGTTGCAAATAATAAAATCTCCCTCTTAAATCCTCCATTGTTGTGGTAATTGGACTGTCACCTGCGTAACAATTTAACCCACCTGAACAGACTAGAACCCTTAGCTCGCATTTTTAAAACACAACAGCTTGGGTCCCTTTCGATTCATCAAAAAGTCACGCATTTTTTAAAAGCAGCCACCAGCCTCTTTCGTCCAGTTAGTCTTAGACAACCATATACTCTAAAATATCTGGAGCCAGATGCCTAAGGAGAAGAATTTAGAAACGGCATCAACCACTTTCTATATCTGACCATTTTGTCACATAAAATAAAAGGGGGATCATAAAAAGATTCATGGATAAAGGCTCTCTGCATCACCAAACATGCTTGCTCATCTAATTAATGATTTTAAAAGACAGATTATTGATATAAACCATTTGGCATGATATTACTGATCTTAACTCTCCTTATTCACTATAGCAATTCCACAAATTTCAAAAGAGACAAAGATTGCTCACACTAAAGCTTGTTTATGGCATCTTAAAAGAAAGCACTTTGAATTGCTATTCCCCAGTTCCTAAAGTCGTAGTGAGATTTATAGGTAACTTTATAAAGTTTTTTCTTTTGTGTGTTCGCTCAGCACTTAGCACATTATAGGCATTCTGAAGAATGGAGCACATTCCATTAAACAATTTGGGCAAAAATAAAGTGTAAATAAACATAATAACTAGTGTAGCCAGGTGCTTAGTGCCCTAACTGGGTTGGCAAAAAAAAGCATAGAATAGTGTGAGAGCCCATGGGAGGTCCTCTACCTCCAGTGCCCAGCACATAGTAGGTATTCAATAAATAGCTGAGGAATAAGGAAACAATAAATGCACTCTTTTTTTTTCTTCTAGCCACTTTGCTTGCAGTAGTTATTTTAGGGGCGTAATAAAGTAGTAATTGCTCCGTGACTATTTGGGCTCATAAGTTAATGTTTGCAAAGTGCTTTGAACTTCCTAGGAAAAAGAATGGTGTTTTTGTTGGCACTGTGTATTGTTTGCAGTGGCACACAAATGCCTCCTCCTCCTCCTCTTTTTCCAGCTGCCAGCACTGTGCCCTCCCCCAGCTCCGTGCAGGGCCAGTATCTCCCACAGGGCACCTCAAGGCCTTTACTGCCTCTCTCCAGCCAGCTCCAGCGCTACAGGAGAGGTAGGGACACAGCAAACGTCGGAAAGATTTTTTAAGGCCACTGAGGAGAAATGAAACTTGGGTTGATACTAATAATTCTTACAAAGATTAGTGTTTAGAGGAAAGCAGATGCTTGGCTAGCCGTGGAAGAAGCTATTGGACAGACAGACTCATCCGTGAGGACACATCAAGCTAGATCCAGAAGGGGAGATAGAAGTGTCGTACAGGCAATCAGCGGTATGTGTGGAAGGAGCTGGTTTTTCCGTTTTATGTGGCCCATACACATAATACAAAACCTTGGCTGGTAACTGGCAGCAAAATATTAGTTTTGTTAGTAGGGACCCATAAGACAAGCCAGATTTCTTTTATATGAGTACAATTTTCAACTGCTATGATTCCTTTCCCCATTATTTTCTTTATGTTTGATGATGGCAAATAAAGGAGTTCTGTCTCACATATGGTTGGCCAAGGCTGCAATCATTTCCAATGCATTTGGTACTATTTTTTAAAATTGCCATTACTGGTAGGAACTTCATAATTAAACAACTCACTGTGATTTGGAAAACAAAAGCTCTATTTTCTTCTAAGAATGGATGTCCTTTGTGAATAAATTCAAGCAAAAGAGTTTTATTTTTGGGTTACACCAGGTTAACTTTCAACTGGTCACATGTGATAAATATCTCAAAGTAAAACAGGGAGAGGCGGTTACAGGTTCAGAATAACTAGAATGACTACCTGTGGCAGATCGTGCCTTAAAGGCAAGAACACCTCCAGTTTCCCGCAGGTTGGAAGTGACTTGTTTTCCAGACCACATCATGAGCTTTTGTATGTGTGGAAAACTTTTCATGTTAATTGCTGTACATGTGGCAAATTCATTCTATCTGCAAATTGTTTCTAGGGACTGGAATTAGATGTCATGTGGAATAAAGCAGACATGGCATTCTGTTAAGAAGATAGAGCACATAAGTGATGGCTACCCAGCTTCAAAGAAAAAACTCAGGTAAGCCTGGCTTTAGGTGAACTACATGAAGTTAACCCAGACTAAGGCTTAAGTTTTGTTTTAAAAAATGTGTAGAAGGAAAACTCCTTCCAACTAAAACACACTCGTTATTTACCTGAAAACAAAAGTAGGTGGAGTTGAATTTATAGATCTAGTAAGTAGCATTTGAAACCCTGAAAGCTTAGAGTCCATATAAAAGCCACATTTATTTGGGAGTAACTCCAGGTAAGAAATGGGTTCTTTCATCACTTGATTCAGTATAAGATGAATTTTCCATTTGTACAGGCTTGAAAATCACATAGACATCATTGAATTTTTTTTCCAAATTCTGTATTTCATACTAGACAGTTTGTCCATGTCCTGAAATAAATGGATGGGAACTCACCTCAGGCAAGATGAGGTGAGCAGTCTGAATTAGGGGGAGGCTGCATTTCCTTTTCATTATGTTAATAACCTGTTGCATTTCAGGAGGCTGTACATTCATTTACAGCAGAGTGGATGAAATCTCCTATGCTCTGGCTTGGAAACCAGGAGGAATCACCAACTGAGATTTGCCAACCAGAGTTCTATGGTAAGTCTGAGTTTGAAATGTGTGGGTTGATTCTCATTATTCATTATTTCCTTTGATCTTGGGGAGGGGATGAAATTAACACATTTTAATAAAGTGTTATATATTCAAATAAATATAATATTGAGGAAATTATTGCTGGAAATTCTGTATTCAGGTGCTTAATGAGTAAGCTGACTGACTCGTCGTCTAAGTATTTTGGACTTCTACTTGTTGATGCTAGGGTTTTTCCTATTTTTTCTTATGTGATCAGTGGATTTGCTATGGGGATGTCTTGTGTCAAGGCAGATGTTGAGTTTATGACATTGAGACATCTATTTTTGATAATGGAAGGGTTCAATAAATGCAAGAGTGTGACATCAACACAAGGAGAAGGGAAAAGACAAGAGATTGGTCTAGAAAGCTGAAGGTTCTTATTAAGAGAAAAGATGAGGGAGCTGGTGAAAAGCCAATTTTACACTGGCTAAGCGCAAGAACTCAAACATGATATTTTAATGATGAAGACAGGTTAAGTTGGCTCATGGGAGTGTGTGTGTGTGAAGGAGAAAGAGAGGGAGATGAGGGGAGGGAGGGAGAGAGAATGAGAGTGAGAGAGAGAAAGAGAGAGAGAGAGAATTGATTTTCTTATCTATATCCACTCTAGCCTTTCTCAGGACAGTAACCCCGTCCTTTCACTCTGTATTATCTGCAAAGAATAGACAACCTACATTTTTATTGAATAGGGTATCTCTTTTTGTGGGTGCTACAAAAAAGATCAACAAAATAGTTGCTTTTATGTGCTTTCTGTGACATAGAGCTCAGAACTCAGCCAGAGGCAGCTGAAACGTCATCAAATAAATTGCCAGCCAAAAGGTGAGCGTTGGGTTATCACAAAATATTCTCTCAAATCTAGATAATATCAGAGTTACACTTTAGGGCTAGACCACCAGGGGTCAGGGCGTTGTCTCTGGGAAGACTTAAAGTACACCTTAGGTGTCCTGTAAGAAAGACACAGGGCACCAGACGCGGGGATGGAGGCGCAAACCACATTGCCATGTGTGTACCTGTGCAACAATCTTGCCTGATCTACACACGTACCCCAGAACCTAAAGTACAAGAAAAAAACCTAACAAAATATACCTCAAAGCACTATGTATGTGTTGGCCCGTTTTCAGGCTACTAATTAAGACATACCCAAGACAGGGAAGAAAAATAGGTTTGTTTTTTTCTTTTTTTTGAGGCTGAGTTTCGCTCTTGCTGTCCAGGCTGGAGGGCAATGGTGAGGTCTTGGCTTACCGCAACCTCCGTCTCCGGAGTTCAAGCGATTCTCCTGCCTCAGCCTTCCCGAGTAGCTGGGATTACAGGGGCACACCAGTACACCCGGTTAAGTTTGTATTTTTAGTAGAGATGGGGTTTCTCCACGCTGGTCAGGCTGCTCTTGAACTCCCGACCTCTGGTGATCCGCCCGCCTCGGCCTCCCAAAATGCTGGGATTACAGGCGTGAGCCACTGCACCCAGCAGAGAAATAGATTTAATGGACTCACCGTTCTGCGCGTCTGGAAGGCCTCACAACCATGGCTGAAGGCAAAACGCACTCCTTTCGTGGCGGTGACGCGAGAGAATGAGAAAGAAGCGGAAGCGGAAACCCCTTCTAAAACCAGGTGTGACTTATTCACTACCGCGAGAACAGTATGCGGGAAACCTCCCCGTGATTCGATTATCTCCCTCCCACAACACGTGGGAATTATGGGGCTACAATTCAAGATGAGCTTCAGGTGGGGACACAGCCAAATCATATCAATATAGTATAAATAAATTCAGAATCATAGATTCTCTGGTTAATAAGATTTGCTTGAAAGAAAAAAAGAAAGAGAAAGAAAAGAAAGAAAAAAAGAGAAAGAAGAAGATAAAGGAAAGAAAGGAAAAATAAAGAAAGGACACAGGGCCGAAGAACTCAACTATTAAGCACGTAAATCTCCCTGTATAGTATTCAAGCACTGGTTCCTGGGTCTCGCTTCTTGTGGTTTTGTTTCAGTAAGTATGAGATGGGGGGATGTGTGTCCCTGGGAATCTATATTTTGTCAAAGATGCTGATGTTGAAGGATATCGATTTTGAGAAACATTTCTGGGGTTTCTCTAGCTTGTTTATCTCATTAAAGCCTACGAGCACAGAACACATCAGGAACCTGGCTCTGAGAGAGACTCAGGGCAGCTGGGATGAGGGGCAGTGCCTGTGTCTCAGAGACGGGTTTGAACACACTGTGACTTTGGAAGAAGCACATTTCTCTTTCTAAGTTTCAAGTATTTTCTTTTTGAAAGAGAACAGTATTGTCTACCTCGTGGGATTTAAAGAAATCATGCATGCAAAGCGAGTTAGCAGAGTGACTGACATGTAATGAATTAGTAATTGTTAGCTCTTGCAGTGGGAAGAGAAGAGGAATGCCACTAACAGGCCCTCTGTGGCCAGGAAAATGATTTGGGGCAGACAGACCCAAGGCATCACCATAAAGGACGTTAGCTGTGGGATTTGAGGATGCAGGGCCAGTGTCTAAAGGTAAACTCTAGACCCAACGATGAATAAACATGAGGATAGGAGACACACTTTCTCACTATAACAAGTTTTTTCCAAGAGTGGTAATGAGCAACCCAGATGGCACAGTTAATTGGAATTATAATTGATCCCTCATTGGTATTTAAGTCAATAGTTTAATTGATTTTCCTCAGGATAACCATTATGAGAACTTCTAAAGAGAACAAAGTAAAATGCATCAAATACTGTGACTGGTTGATATTTGCTACCCTGTCTGTATGGAAGGAACAATGAATAAAGAGAATAATGGTCAAAGAGGAGAGGGATACAGGGATTACAATTCGAACACACTGTCAGGAGTCAAATACTTGTCTGGTTATTCAGTGCGATGTTAGGTGGTATTGAACCAGATGGTGAGGCCAAGTATTCCCCCCAGATGAAGCACCAAGAGCAGAGGAACAAGTACCGGTATCGTAGGAGCCTTCCTTAAAAGACAAAGATGAAATTTGGTGGCACATAAATGTATGATACGCCAGAAACAGCCAACAAACTAACAGGGCATATGAAGGATGAGTGGGGGTGGGGTATGATCAGATGTCCTTGAGCAAACCTGTAGCCTCCTTTGGCCCAAATGTTCCCTCTGAGTGCCCTTCCAGTCTTGATATGCTGGTATAAAACATATAGCATGGGACAAAGCCCATCACTTTATATTTTTCTTGCCTACAGAGTAGTCCATAAACTAGGGCACCTAAGGGATTGTGAAATGCTGACTACTTTGAGGAATTTTGTTTACCGTGAATTATGATTTTTTCCCCATAAGCCGAAATTTCCACTGAAACATATTTTCACCAGTACTGCTATGACACTGGATGTCACTGATATCTTTTCAGTAAATAATCACCTTAATAGGTGGTAATGATGAATAAATGATGAAGAAAACATGCTAACAGTAGCCACCGTTGTTCAAGTGCCTGTCATCTGCTAGGTCATATTTCATCATTAATCCTTTCAGCAACTCTGTTAGCAGGCATTATGGTGGCCATTTTCCATGTGGATTCTGAGAGCTCACAGAGGTAGTAAATACATCAGGACTTTATTTTGATAGAATGATTTTTTTATGACATCACCAATTTATTCCAAGTTAATATTAGAGAATCCTAAAAATGTAATGGAAAGACAAGAAAATTAAACATCCAAATAATTTGAATTTGACTTTTAATATATTATAAAACTGTGGTTAGACCCACAGATTTCTGAGCACTGTCCATAGAGAAGACCTGGTCGTGTAGTGGTCAAGGTAGTGTTTATGTAGTGTTTATACTGAGTGATCTAGTAAAAGTCATTCAATTTATTTATGCCTCAATTCATTTTATTAGTGAAAATAAGATGATGACACCTACTTCATAGTTATATTTTAGAATAGAATACGATATTTTTGAAAAGATTTTAACATCTGCTGGGTGATGGCTTTATAGCTTCTTTACGCCATGCTGTGGCTCCCTATTCCTAATATATTCCTTACTCTGCCTCTTTGCCTGATGTATAAAGTTTCAACCTCCCTAGTTAGCAGTATTTTCCTATCTTGCAAAGCCTAGCTCAGATTCTTCCTACCCAATTAATATTTCTTGATGACATGAGACATTGGCATAGCCTTTTAAAATCATCGGAATCATACTGTCACATTATCGTACTAGTCTGTTACGAATGCCCATAGAGTCTATTTATTGTCTCCATCTCCTCAGATGAGAAAATAATGCCCATGAAACGTGTTATTGATATGGGTAAAATGTGTGACATAATATGTTGAAAAAATACAATTTCAAAATTGTTTGAAGAAAATACTTTCAATTTTGTTAAAATACAGCTCTGTGATAGCCTTTCCAGTAATTTATGGCTTCAATCTAATTCATGACAAAACATCAGATAAAATCATGTTTTATGACTCCATCCCTTGGACAGAAAATGTCTAGTGCATCATAGACGCAGTTGAGTCTTCTACCTTCTCTCTGCATTTTATTTTCATAGCTACTGACCCTGAGATGACTAAGGAGCAGCATAGGTGGGTGAGAAGAGACTGCCTTTTCCTGGAAGGCTTACCTTTGATAGTGAATCTACAGTACTTCCAATGTTGCAGAGAACTATGTGTCACCATTATTGTTCTGAATGATGTTAACTCTGTAGAGACTCTTCATTACCTAGAAAAACAGTACTCTCTGAAAGTTGAGATTCTATTTTCTTAGAATACTCTTCTCTGTGTTCACAGCTTTAGTTAGTCTTTAAACCAGGTTATGAGAAACAGAGAAGCTGGTAAGTTGGACATGGCATAGCTGTGAGAAATGTCTTCAGCAAACTGATACTTGCCTACAATGTTATTTCACATTTAGCTACAGACATTCATTCTGTGCCTTTGTCTCTCAGACTTTCCTCTGTAATACAGGAGACTTTGCACAACTAACTCATTTAACCTTCATAACAACCTCAAGAGGGAAGTAAT